GCTCAGAGCAGCTGCAGGGTGGGAGTGAAGAGAGGCAGCATTTTGCAGTTCTGCCTTGGCCACTAAAGCTGTTTTCTTCTTCAGCCGGTTATTTGAGCAGAGCTTTCTAATGGAGAAAAATCAGGCTCTGGGCTGCCTGAAGACTCCTGGATGCCATCAGCTCTCAGGATGCTCTAGTTCTGCTGTCTTCTGTAGCAGCTCTCTTGGAAAAAAATTCTCTAGGGGCTTACAAGGAAGAGATCTTCAGGTGGCTTTCAGTCTCACTGTAAATGCTGGGAAAAAAATCAGAGTTTTAAAGAGAAATCTCAGCAGCAGATGGTGATGGCATTCGTCCAAGAGAGCTTCCTCCTTCCTCCCTTGGAAAGCTTGGATTTGTCTAGTTCTCAGATGCAGAAGAGCTGTCATTGCCCTGCATGTTCATGTTGGCTGACTTCCTGTAAGTGTAAGGAGAGAAACCAACGCTTCTCCAGGTTGCTGAAATAATTTCCTCCTCTCATTTATTTGCCACACCCCTTTCCTACAGAAATGGGTTCATGGGAGAAGTTTTGTCCGTGCTCCAGATGACTGAGTGCCTTGTGCAGGCTTTACTGCATAGAAAATCCTTTAAAGTGTGGTGAAGAAGTACTTAATTTTAAGCTAGCACACGTCTTCCTTGGATTCCTAACCTGTGGCTGGGATGTGTATAATGAGAGATCCATAATTAAGAATCATTTGGTTTAAGTTAATTACCTTAATAGGCTGTCTTTTAGAATTTATCCCTGGGGAGTTACTGAAGGTATAGCTGAGCTGTTGGCAGATGGAGAGCACCAGCTGCTCTGAGCAGAGGCTTTCTGCAGCTGGTGCTGCGTGGACATGTGGAGCCAACTCCAGGCTGAAGCTGTGTCCCAGCACGGGGAGTTTGGATGCTGGTTTTGGGGCCAGTTGGGATTTAGTGGGGCCAGTGCTCAGGGAAGACTGGTAAGCCCTGAGCCCAGCCTGACTGCAGTGTGCACCAAGCTCTGCAGGCATCGTTCTTGTGTCCCCCTTAGCCTTCTGGTGTGCCAGGCAGTTTAACCTCATTCTTGATGTTCTGCTGGTTCAGTGGCAGCTGTAACAACACCCAATTAAAAAATAAATAAACAGATACTAAAAAATGGAAGGTCTTGAGAGCACTGAGAATGGGCTAGGATGATGTTTCTAAGGAGCTGCAGTAAATTTTTTTGTGTCTAGGAAAGCTTCTTAAACTGATAGACCGAGCTGGTGATTCTCATGCTTTAAAACCTGGAAGGTTTGTGTCCTTGAATATTGAGTTTGGTCTGTGAACTTCACAACCAACTTTAAAATGAACTGATGTTATTCTAATGCGGGAATTCATGTGCCACCAGCTGAATGTCTGCACTGAAGTGGAAGCCTGTGTGAGGAAGCAGCCTGTGATGTGTTCTCAGTGATGTGACAGCAACAGGGCACCCTGCTGTAGTTTTTGGATGCTTTGCTTTCCTGCTGCACCCCCGAGAAGACATCTCTAAAACCTTATCCTATTCTCTCCCCATTTTTACCCTTGTGTAGCCTCAGGATGGGATCCCTGTCTCTAAATACAAGGGTGGGGATGCTTTTAAAAAAAAAAAGTGCAGGCTTCATGTGCAGAAAATAAATAAATTGCATGTTCTGACAGGACCAAATATTTTCCAGAAATATATTCCAGAAATATAAAAGGAGATTTCCCAGCACTAGAGCATGAGGTTTCTGGAACCAATCCCTCCATCAGAGCAGAGATGACAAAGCAGCCAAGTATTTTTAAGAGTGGAAAATTTGTGAAAGGAGAGTCCAGGATTTCAGTGACCACGACAGACAGAAGACTTGGCTGAATAATGTGGGAAGCTTCTTCCCAGTGTGTTCCTTGCATAGGGCTTCCTAGCTTTCCAGCAGAATTTAAGCAGTATTGAAAAGCACAGTGGATGTGGGGAAACTGGTTTTAGTGACCCTGTGCATTAACTGGCCATTTAAATAGGGCAATGTTTACCAATTTCAGTCTCTGGAGGATCTGGGGCAGCAGCAGAAGGGTCTGCTTTGGCTGACAATGCCCAATTTTTACCTGTGTGGCACTGATGGTAATTTGATTTTCTTCTTCTCTAAATATCAGGGCATGATCCTTGTTCAAAGCATTTTTCTGCAGTAATGAATGGATAATACAGGATTTTGATTCAAAGGAAGAGAGAACACTTTGGGGAGGTCTTATTCTGTCATGAATATGGGTATAGCTGACTTGTGGATGTAAATGCCATATTGGAGATGGCTTTAATGTGGCATTAGGTGGGCCTGTGTACAGGTTTTTACATTTAGGGTGTTGGGAAGAGCTGGTGAGTGAAGCAAGAGGACGCTTGGTGCGTTTTGTTTGCTTCCCTGATGCCCACCATGCAGAAGCAGAGTGTCCATCTCCCTGTTGGACTGCTGGTGGTGTGTGACTCCTGTTTGCCAGCAGGGGAAGCTTCAGCAGCTCACTTGCTGTTGCTGCACTCCTCCACCACAGGGCCCTTTTCTTTTTTGGGCACAGAAACCCTGAATTTGTCCAGCCTTTCCCTGCACTTACACTCTGCAGTCTTGGACTCCTCCTCCCATGAAGGTGCTCCTCCTGGACTGCTGTCCCTGGCGATATGGTTCTCCTGGCATTACATGATGAAGCCCAGGCAGCCAAGGTTCCTCTCTTGAGAAGGAACTTCACTGTTTATTTTTTTGTGAAGTGTTTTAGGAAGGTTTTCATGAGGGAGTCTTGAAATAAGAGACATGCTAGACTTTTCTCTGAGCACTTTGTGGACTTCCCATACTGAAATGCTGATCAAGTTTACAATCCTGATTTCTGAAGTACAGGAAGAGAATTGTCATGAAAATCAGTCCTTGGATTGCTCCTGCTTTCTTTCTCCCTTGGGCTGTGATTCCAGTTTATCTCATTCATGAGCAGTTATTTTTAAGTCTGTTCTTGTTTGAAGTACATGCATTAGAAACAGAGAGTGATTGGGATTTGGATGCGCCTCCTAAAATAGTTTGCATCTTCTTTCAAGTTTTCTTTTGGTAATGGTTGGAATTGGCCTCTATATAAATACATAAAAATAACTCAGTGATTTAAAGATAAGGTGGGTAGCTGATGGCTTGAGCAGCTCCTGGGAATGCTCTAAAAGAGTCCCTCTGCCTTTTACAGTGACCAAGTTATCCCTCCAAGGAGAGAACACAGCTTCTTCAGGCATGCGCTCACCTGTCACATGGCTTTTCAGAGATCTTTTCTTTGGGAGTCAGTCCCTCTCCTGGTCCTGGGTTGTTTTCTGTGCTGTTCAGCTTTCTTCAGTGCTGCCTCTGTGTGTTGGGGTGTTGCTCTCTGACTGCTGGGTGCTCCTGCAGCTTGGGTGGCCATGCCTTGATCTGCACCTCCTGTGCTGCCAGAAGGGGGTGACAGGAACATGCTGTCACCTGGGCTGTTCTGTGCTGTGGGGGGGGCTGCTGCTTCCCTGAGCTTAGCTGGGGGGCTCCCAGCTTTCAGATGATGGTAGGGATGAGGGCTTCTTTGTATCACACACTTAGCTGACTGCACATTAACCCGAGTTCTTTCTATTTAGATTCACTGGCAGAAATATCAGTAAGGCATGATCCTTGGGCTGGAGCAGCTCTGCTCTGGAGACAGGCTGGGAGAGTTGGGGTGTTCAGCCTGGAGAAGAGAAGGCTCCAGGGAGACCTTAGAGCACCTTCCAGTGCCTGAAGGGGCTGCAGGGAAAGCTGGGGAGGGGCTTGGGATAAAGGCAGGGAGTGAGAGGAAGAGGAGGGATGATTTTAACCTGAAAGAAAGGAGATTTAGGTTAGACATTGGGAAGAAATTCTTTGCTGTGAGGGTGGTGAGACCCTGTCCCAGTTTGCCCAGAGAAGCTGTGGCTGCCCCGTCCCTGGCAGTGTTGAAGGGCAGGTTGGATGGGGCTTGGAGCAACCTGGGCTGGTGGGAGGTGTCCCTGCCCATGCAGGGGTGTTGGAACTAGGTGATCTTGAAGGTCCCTTCCAACCCAAACCATTCTATGATTCTCTGATTCTAGGGTATTTTGCCAAAATAACAGTAGCATGTTATCCTGCCTTTGACATGTAAGAATTTTACTAAAAATTCCTTCTTTCCAGGAAGACTTCCTTTAAAGGTCTGTGCTACATTCAGGTTTATTTTCTAAATGTGCCTTTTTTTTTTTCCTTTTGAAAAAACCATAAGCATCTAATCCTGCTACCATGAGCTGTAACATGTGGCTACATTTTTCTCTTTGCTCTTCAGCCCGTGTATCTCGTTAGCTCCAGCCCATCCTTTAGCTCATTATTAGTAATATTAATCTGTTCCAGTTCTCGGCTCTAATCGCAGATTCCATCTGATCAGGGTTTTCTCTTGATCTTTTCCCAGAAGCTCATTATCTAATACAGCTGTAAATGTTGCCAGGCCTGACACTAATGCATATTTTGTACCATAGGGGAATTTGACTAATAAAATAATCCAATTAGACATTTGTTTTTGTCTCCCTGGGGCATCTTAGATTACTCGTCTACCTCAGTTATGTGCTGCAATTAGTTAACGTTTGTACATCCCTTTGATGTAAAAGCTCTGGTATTATCCTTGGCTCTGGCTCTGCATCAGGACTTTATAAAAAGGGAATAACTGGGGATTTAAATGGCAGCAGAACCCAGCGGGTGTACGGGTACTGTCAGACTCGTGCTGTGTGTGTCTTCAGTGCTGCCTGGTGGTGGTGCTGGAAGTGCTGTGAGGATTGCACATCAGGTGTTGGGAGCTCCTGAACACGAGGTATCTCAAAACAGGAGTTAAGTTCATGGACAGGGGAGTTTCAGCCCTGTTTGTCAAAGACAGACCAGGCTGATTTTTTTAGGTTTTCCACGAACAGATCAAGGGGTCCTACATTTGGGAATCCCTAGAAAATGGCGCGGATTAATTCAGCTCATAACTGGTGACATGACATCACCACCTCCTTTTTCTTTTCTTCTCCCTTCTGTAGTTTTCCCTTGGTTTGGCTTGGATATTGGAGGGACCTTGGTCAAGCTGGTGTATTTCGAACCAAAGGACATCACGGCCGAAGAGGAGGAGGAGGAAGTGGAAAACCTGAAGAGCATCCGCAAATACCTGACGTCAAACGTAGCCTACGGGTCTACGGGCATTCGGGATGTGCACCTGGAGCTGAAGGACCTTACCCTGTGTGGACGTAAAGGCAATCTGCACTTTATCCGCTTCCCTACCCATGACATGCCTGCTTTTATCCAAATGGGAAGCGAAAAGCACTTCTCGAGCCTCCATACTACCTTATGTGCCACGGGAGGTGGAGCGTACAAATTTGAGCAGGACTTTCTCACAGTATGCATTTTTGGCTTCTATTCCATTGGGATCTGGTGGTGACCTTTCTTGTTAAGGCTTCAAACTAGAAAACTTGTCTCTGCAGACTCTAAAGCTCCTCTAAATCTTAGCTTTGGAAGAGTGTATCTAACTCAGACTTGGGTCAGGAAACAGCACGTGGAATCAAGTTCTCCTCTCCAGATGGGGATACTTTCTTTCCTGAAAGTGCCTGTAACCTTCCTCTAACTCTAAAATTATTCCCTAACTTCAATGCCTTGTACTCTTACGAGATTTCCTCTGTATTCCTAATGTCTGATTAAGCTGATCTCAGTCTTTGTTGGGTTTTTTTTGTTCCCTCATTGCTGCCTTTAACATGCTTAATATTTGTGTGATTGTTCCTTTGCTGCTGTGGTTTCATTCCATGTGAGGGAGCTGACTGAGGGTGAGTCAGGTTTGGTGGTGAATTAGCTGACAGGAGCTTGGTAGCTGGGGCTTGTCATCATCATGTGGCTTCATTCTAAGTGTGATTCTTGTCCACAGGTGAAAAATGTGTGTGATAAATACTTTGTTTAACCAGGGCTTGAAAAAATGCACCAAATGAAGGGGCTTTTTGTGCAGTCAGAGCAGTGACATGAGGGGAAAGAAATTTCATAACTTCCTGTTTTCTGAGTGGTTTTTTGGTTGGAAGCTTTTTATTTTGATTTTTTTGTCTGGCAGTTAAGTCATAGGATCATAGAATGGTGAAGGTTGGAAGGGACTTTAAACATCATCAGGTTCCTACCCCCCTGCACGGGCAGGGACACCTCCCACTAGATCAGGTTGCTCAGCCCTATCCAACCTGACCTTCAGCACATGCAGGGAGGGAGCTTCCACAACTTCTCTGGGCAACCTGGGCCTTCATTAATGAAGATATTAAACAACACTGATCCCAGAACGGACACCTAAGGGAAGGCCCATGGAAGTTACTGGGATTCTTCTGGCATCCATCTGTGGATCTAGTTGTTCATTTCCCCCCATCTTCCATGTTGCACACTTTAGGGCCAGGGTGGGTAGTCCGTGTGCCTGGGGAAAGACAGAGCCCTCCTGTGACCTGTCCTTCTCTCAGTCACCACAGGGAGCAATGCGGACAGCTGAATTCAGCAGGCAGGGAATGCATTTTTCTAGCCCTGAGCATAAACACTTCAGATCCTGAGCTACTTCTTCAGTGTTTCTTTTTTCTTTCTCCCCTCCCCAGATGGGTGACCTTCAGCTTTGTAAGCTGGATGAACTCGATTGCCTTATTAAAGGAGTTCTGTACATTGATTCAGTTGGATTCAATGGACATTCAGAGTGCTACTATTTTGAAAACCCAACGGATGCTGAAAGATGTCAGAAGCTCCCATTCAACTTGGAGAACCCATATCCTCTCCTCTTGGTGAACATTGGCTCAGGGGTCAGCATTTTGGCTGTGTATTCAAAAGAAAACTATAAACGGGTAACAGGCACCAGGTGAGTGCTTGAGGCGGGGAAACTGGGTTTTATTTTAGAGCCTGGAATGCATTTTTGAATCGTAAATGACATTGTCAGGAACAAGCTGCAATAAAGGTGGCGAGTTGAGGACTGAGCTCCTGCTTTTACTGCAGTCCCACATCTCTACCAACAAAGATCCCTCCTGGAAGAGAGAAGCTGCTCTTCATGATTGTGGTGTGTTGGTTTTTTTTTCTTGCTGCAACCAGTCTCTGTAATTCCTACAGCAGGGCAACTGGGAAAAAAACAGCTTCTGTACTGCTTTATTTACCATCACAGGATCCCATCGTTTGGGATTATCCCAAATAGACTCATGATGTTCATGTTAACCACCATTAACTGTGATGCTGTGATCCTAGCAGAAGAGATTTGCATACTGACTTCCAGAAGTGACCTGTCATCTTATTTTGGTGGAAGGGATGCTGGCATGGCAGGAATTGCCCAGACAGTTGCTGGGTTGCAGCAGCTGCCCCATCTTGGAAGATGTGGCTCTTGTTACCAAGCAAAGCCTGTGGCTTTCAGCTCTCCTGGGTTTCCTGAAAGTTACCAATAACAATCAAAAGCCTCCCACTGTACAGTTCTTCCTCTTATTACATGCCATTATGGGGCTGAGTGCACAGTAAAGTGAACAGGACATAGTTTTTTGTCCCCTAAGTTTGGAGTAGCTGTGTCCAAATACTCCAGTTATCCAACAGGACTAATATTTATTGTAAGATTTGCTTCTACCAAGTGCTGGGAAGAAGGTGCATCTTGTAAAATAAGAACCTGAATTTCTCCTTGAGAAGCATGCTCTCTAGAAGGCTGTGGGATTCCTTCCAAGCTGTAAATGGCAGATTTTAAAGAAAAGTGCTGCTCTTCCAAGGTGGTTCTCCCTGGAAAGAGAAGAAGCTGAAGGAATGGGGTACCCTGAGCTACCTCAGACATGTAGCTGAGGAACCTGAGCTTTCAGTGGAACGAGCTGCTTTCTTTCCCTGTCTCTAGAAGCAAGGTGGGTGACATTCATTTTGGTTTGTGTTACAGCCTCGGAGGGGGAACCTTTTTTGGTCTCTGCTGCCTTCTTACTGGTTGCTCCACCTTCGAAGAGGCCCTAGAGATGGCATCCCATGGAGACAGCACCAAAGTGGACAAACTAGTGCGGGACATTTATGGAGGAGACTACGAGCGATTCGGGTTGCCAGGCTGGGCTGTAGCATCCAGGTAATGACCTGACTCCTTTTTATTTTCACTGGAGGTTCTGCAAGGATGAAAAACTGGATTTACCTGGCTTTTAGGAGAGCAGCTGTTCCTCCTGCTGCTCACAGAATCAGAGGATGTTAGGGATTGGAAGGGACCTCTGGAGGTCATAGAGTCCAACCCCCCTGTCAGAGCAGGACCAAATCTAGGGGAGATCACTCAGAAATGCATCCAGATGGATCTTGAAAGTCTCCAGAGAAGGAGACTCCACAGCCTCTTTGGGTAGCCTGTTCCAGTGCTCTGTAACCCTCACAGGAAAGAAGTTCTTTCTCTTGTTGAGGTGGAACTTCCTGTGCTCTAGTTGCAATCCGTTGCCCCTCATCCTATCACAGGGCACAAGTGAAAAGAGGTTGTCCCTTTCTGCTTGATGCCCTTATGTATTTATATATATCAGTTAGATCCCCTCTCAGTCTTCTCCTCTCCAGACTAAATAGCCCCAGGTCTCTCAGCCTTTCCTCATAAGGCAGGTGTTCCAGTCCCTTCATCATCCTTGTAGCCTCCATTGGACTCTCTCAAGTAAATCCCTGTCACTCTTGAAATGGGGAGCCCAGAATTGGGCACGATACTTCAAGTGGTGTCTCACTAGGGCAGAGTAGAGGAGAACCTCCCTTGACCTGCTAGAGACACTCTTCCTAATGCCCCCGTGTTCTGTGTTACCAAGTTTAAATTATTGATAGCAGAGCTTCTTCAAGTAAGCAATTAATCACATAATAGTTTGGGTTGGGAGGGACCTTAAAGCTCATCTAGTCCAACCCCCCTGCAGTGAGTAGGGCCATCTTCATCTAGATCAGGTTGCTTCAAGATTAATCACTTTGGATAAATGAACAGTTCCCATTTTCTCCTGGAATTCTGATGCAGATACACCTTTAACCCACAAACTGTCTTGACAGCTTTGGAAACATGATGAGCAAGGAGAAGAGGGAATCTGTCAGCAAAGAGGACCTGGCAAAGGCTACTTTAATAACCATCACTAACAACATTGGCTCCATAGCACGGATGTGTGCACTTAATGAGGTATTGAGGGCAAATCTGTTTGACTGCTGCCTGTCTGAACCACCCCTTGTGTGCTGCCATCAGCCAGTTTCTCCTTCCCTGCATGCACTTGTGTAGCTGCATGTTCCTGCTTGTCTTTTTGCGCGTTCAGGAAGTTGTAATCCACCCATTTGGGATTCTGGAGTACATTAGGTCCTTATTTGTCAGTGTAGTTTTCAGCCAGATGGTTGTGCTGTATGAACTGAAGAGCTGTGAGTGAATTAGGGGCTGGTTGTTGGTCTCAGCAGCCCTCTGGTCAGGAGCTGTGGTTTGAGGAGCAGGAGGTATGAGATCCTTCCACAGCCACTCCTGGATCTTTGTGCTTTCAGCTTCTTTACAGTGCTGCCTTGTTGCATTCATGTCAAGCAGCATTGTACAGGGCTATGAGAGAACAGAGACATGCTCTGCACTCCTGAGCCTGTTCCTGTGGGACCAGCAAATGGGATGAAGCTCCCTCCTGACTCCTGGTTACTGCTGGAGCTAGTCAAGACCTTCTTAACAGTCTTGCCCACAGTGGATCTGCTGGGTCCTCACTCCAGTACACAGCTGAAGGCAAAGAGGATGATGAATACTTAGGGGAAAGTGGTAGTGAATGTGGGGAAGGAAGGAGGTTCCTTAGAAAGCTGTGAGTGAAGGGGCAGACAGGACTTGATCCTGATTCCTCAATTAGAGGAGGAACTGAAAATTATTTCCTTTTTGGAGAACAAGCAAGCTTCAGAGTTCATCACTTGGCTCAGGAGAGCTGTCCTGGGCTTGAAAAGTTTGCCTGGAAGTCTGATTTAAATGCAAAATATCACTACTTCATCAGTCTTCCTTTCAGAGTTTTCTTGGTTATGGGTTTCTAATGGGTTTGTTTGTTTGTTTTTCTGATTAACAGTGGAGACCAGACAAATTTTTTTTTAATGATAAGTCAAAGGCCAGAGTTGGGGGAAGAGAGAGGAGATGGCACTTGATGATCAGCATTTCTAGCCAATATAAGGGTCTCATGGCCAAAAATAATTCTTTCTATTCAAATTCCTAGGCTAGAAAAGCTATAGTGAGACCTGTGGATTTCTGAGTAGTGTGAAAGAGCCTGAAAAAGAGCCTGTCTCAACATGACCTGCCTGGAACTGCTTTCTGACAGAGCTGGGGATGTTCTGCAGCTCCTGCCTGACACTTTCAGCAGCCACTTAAGTCATAGAATCACAGAATAATTTAGATTGGAAAGAACTTTTCAAATCATCAAGTCCAACCCTTAATCCAGCACTGCTAAGGCCACCACTGCCCCATGTCCCTCAGCACCACATCTACAGGACTTTGAAATCCCTCCAGGGATGGGGACTCCACCTCTGACCTGGGCAACCTGGGCCAGGGCCTGACAGCCTTTTTGGGGAAGAAATTGTTCCTAATATCCAATCTAAACCTCCCCTGGCACAACTTGAGGCCATTTCCTCTTGTCCCATCCCTTGTTCCTGGGGAGCAGAGCCCGACCTCCCTCGCTCCAACCTCCTCTCAGCAGCTGCAGAGCCAGCAGGTCTCCCCTCAGCTCCTTTGCTCCAGGCTGGACACCCCCAGCTCCCTCAGCTGCTCCTGCTCACACTTGTGCTCCAGCCCCTTCCCCAGCTGCCTTGCCCTTCTCTGGACACGCTCCAGCCCCTCAATGTCCTTCTTATGGAGAGGTGCTCAGACCTGACCCCAGGATTTAAGGTGGGGCCTCGCCAGTGCCCAGCACAGTTCTTTTTTTTTTTTGTCTTTCAGTTCTGACCATCTCACTGCACCTCCCCTTGCTCTCTGAATACCCTCTTGCTGCTGCCAGACACCAAGCAGACTCGCTGTCATCCCTTGATTGCAGATCAGCTCTTTTGGGTCCAGTTTTTAAATTCTAAGCTCAGGAAGCTGCACATGGAACTCTTGCCCCTCCAGCTCCCAGGGCAGTTCCTCTCCTCAGCTGCCAGCAGCTATTTGGGGTGATGCAGTTTCCCTGGCTCAGATTGCTTTGGTTTCCATGGGTGATTTCCCTCTGCTTTCAGCTCTTTTTTTCATCAAGTCTCACTAGAACATGGATGGGAAAAGCTGCATCTGGCCTTTATAAAGACATTATCAGTGTTACATTTTTCTTCTTCCTCTAAGGTGGGGTTTTTATCATTGCAAACAGAAAATGGAATCCAGCCTTTAATGTTCCTTTGGGTTTTGTTTTCCCTTAATCCTTGCAGAACATCAATCGAGTGGTGTTTGTTGGCAATTTCCTTCGGATCAACACAATCTCCATGAGGCTTCTGGCATATGCTTTGGACTACTGGTCAAAGGGACAGTTAAAAGCACTTTTCTTGGAACATGAGGTGAAATTTTCAATCTATTTTGTCTCCTGTCAGAATTCAAATCCTTAGTGGAACAGCTGTGTGGGTTCTGCAGTGGTGGGTGATCCACACTCCAGCAGGTTCTCACTTGGTTAATGTAGTGCCCAGTGTAGGATCAGAAACCTGTGTATATTATTCATTAATTAACACCAGAACTGTTTATCACCAAGCTCTTCTTGCTTGTGAACTTTATTTTTAAGACTTTTGACAGTCTAGATGAATCCTGTGGAGCTTTGCTTTCCTGTGAAGCAATTCCAGTTAGAATCTGTTCTGGAATGTACTCATTATTTCTTCCCAGCATCTTTTTACAAGCTGTTAATATCACACCATATGTGTGATGTTCTTGTGTCAGTTGTGTGCATTTACTTGAATTTTTAATAGATATTAGTACATGTTTTAATAGATACTCCTGTCTGCTCTTCAGGGTTACTTTGGTGCAGTTGGGGCTCTCCTGGAACTCCTGGATTCCCCCTGACTCCGGGCATATTCTGGATGTTGGACCTATGAAGTCAGGGAGCTTCCTGGGTCACTGAGCTCACGTTTCACTTCAGAGCATCTGTTCATGGACTGTTAACTAATTGTGGGTGACCTAATGAGCAGAGGAGAGGACTGTTGCATTTCTGTCTGTAGAGTTGAAACCCATCCTCGGTCTCCAGACAGGTCTGTTCCATAGGAGTAGGTATGGAAACCAAAGGTGTGTCTGCAACAGCCGTGGGGCATTCAGTTGCTGAACAGCCCTTGCTATGTAGTCTTCATGGTGGTGACACCACAGGAGATGTGCACTCTGTTCCCTTCAGCAAGATTCCTTGGGGTGCTCAAGGTCCCTCCCTGTTCACAGCAGGTGGAGTTCAGCTGCAGTGCTTTATGTTCTGCAGGTGGCAGGTGTTGTGTTGGGAATTGTCTGTGGAGGGGGGACAGGACAACAGCGCAGCCCTGCTGTGTAGCACCCTCCAGACCACTCTTCTCCCTGGGGACCCCTCCCGTGGCCTGTTGCACACTCCTGTGCTCTCAGCAAGGCTTTGTTCCTGTTACCACAGTTCTTTGTCTCTGTGTAGAGGTGATGAGGGGCAGCAGATCTGAGCCTTGGGGTCCCTCAGCCTGCTCAGCTCCGTTCCCATCTCAGCCCCTCACAGCCACCTCCTGGTGCCCTGGCTCTGCCAGCCTCTGGCCTGCAGATCTGCTGAAGGCAAATTAGAAGATCAAATGGTGGGGCTTTGCTTTGTTTGGTTTGGTTTGTTTGGGTTTATTTCTCCATGTTGTAAATCTTTGACTGCATCTGACTACACCAAAGATACTGCTTTTCCTTTCAGCCACACGCCCGGGATCTGCTCTGTCATGTTCCGTTTCGTGTTTAGTAGTAGTAGTTTATGGGGGAAACCTCTCGTTCCCACGTGCATGCTGCATCCTCCTCTGCTTTCTCCATGCCTGTGTTCCAAAATGCAGCCCCCAGACTGGGTTGCTGCAGCTGAGGCCCCTGAAGCTCCGGGGCTGTGGGTTTGGGAATGGTTTGGCTGGTCCCTGAATAAAGGGTCTCTCAGAGCAGCCGAGGGGTCGCTCGGGGACGGTTCAAGCAAGACGAGCAGCCTGTGTATGGTTTGTGACCCCACCTGCATCCCATGTCTCTGCTTTCCCTGCTCTGCCCAGAAATTCCTCTTCCCAGGCTCAGACCTTGTGCTGGGACATGGGCAGGGGTGGTTGGGAGCAGGCAGTGGGTGTTCCCCGTGCTGTGCTTCCCACGGCTGTTACTTCAGGCTGGTTACTACATCTCACGTGGGGGTTTATCCCAGGACAGGGGGTGGCTGCCATCCCAGCTCCCACACAGCTCAACTCCAGGTTTCTGTCCAGATCAGCTGGTTTCCAGCTCTGGGCAGGATACAGATGTGCTGGTGGATCCCCATGCCCCACAGCCCGTGTCCTGTGTGGAGTGGCCACAGCAGCAGCACAGCAAACCATGGCCACTGCTCACTGCTGCAGCTCCAGATCCAGGCTCTCCAAGGCTGATTTCTTCCCTTTTCAGCTCTAAAAGAGGCAATGCTGAATTCAGAAGACGTGCTTCTTCCTAGACCAGAGCCTCTGTAATATTTCCCTGTCAGCTTGGCTGGGTGAGCTGTGGACACTGCATAAAGCCCAGGCACACCCTGAACTTCAGGTGACTGTGGGCCTGGAACTTCCTAAATACATCCCATTCTTTGACAACAATAATCAAAAAGAGTAGTGTTGATGTGAAAGGTGACCTTTCCTGTGTGCTGTCTGCAGGAGGGAATCCTGGTGCTTTTCCTGCAGAACAGCACAGCTCTCAGTTGTATCCTGCTCTGCGTCCACTGGAACATGGCACTTCAGAGGTCTGGGGTTTCAGCAGGGAACAGTTTGGGTTGAAAGGGACCCTTCAAAGGTCACCTAGTCCAACCCCCTGCCATGGTCAGGGAAATTTTAAACTATACCTGTCAGACCTGGCCTTGAACACTTCAAGGATCAGGCAGCCACAGCTTCCCTGGGCAACCTGGGCCAGGGTCTCACCACCCTCACAGCAAAGAATTTCTTCCTTGTATTTCATCTAAATCTCCTTTCTTTCAGGTTAAATCCTTCCCCCCCTCTTCCTCTCACTCCCTGCCCTTTTCCCAAGTCCCTCCTCAGCTTTCCTGGAGCCCCTTCAGGCACTGGAAGGTGCTCTAAGGTCTCCCTGGAGCCTTCTCTTCTCCAGGCTGAACACCCCAACTCTCCCAGCCTGTCTCCAGAGCAGAGCTGCTCCAGCTCTTGGATCATCTTCATGGCCTCCTCTGGACTCTCCAGGAGCTTTGAGTCCTGCTCCAGTCTTTGGTATCATACTCGAGTGCTGCTGTGCCCTGGTCAGGTTTATTTAGTCCCAGGGCTTTTATACAGGTGTGGGGAGGTGTAGAACCCTCCCCTGGCTCCTTGCAGTGCACACAGGGAGGGTGATTTGTTACTAATGCAGTCACCCTTGGGAGCTGAAGGCCAAGGGAAGGAGGAATCCACCTGGAAATGGTTTGGACAGGCAGAGGGAAGCTGTGGAGAGCTGAGGAACCTCTTCAGGGCTGAGGAACCCTTGCAGCTCCCCTGCAGCCTGGTCTGCACCAATCCCTGCCCTCGGGCACTGGGGTGGGTGCCAGGCTGCCACCCCTGGGAGCACAATCCCATGGGATTCCCACTCTTTTGCACACTTGTGTCTGAGACTCCTTTTCTCTGTGGATTTTGAGTAGATCCCATGTGGTCTGATGTCTGACACCAGAATCCCTGATGTATTATTGGCCTGCTTGATTTGTTTGTTTGTTTTATTGTTTTTCTTCTCATAATAAAATTCTACAGTTATTTTTACATTCTTGAAGCTTCTGTTTGCTTCTTGTCTCATGCTCGAGCTGCAGAGCCAAGGGGTGAGCCCTGATCTGAACAGGCCAGAGAAACGGGTGTAAACTAGTTGACTTTAGGAGCTTATTAAAAATAACTTGGTTATTCTTTGTTCCCTGCACGTCCTGGGCTCTGGAAATCAGCTGCATTTCGAAGTATGTTCATTCATGGAGGAGAAAAAAATTGTTTCCAGCATCACTCTGGGGCAAATGACAGCATTTTAGGGGTTGATGAAAGACTCCTTTGGTGGTAGGAGATGGTGGGGGCTTTGGAGGCCCTCAATGGGCTGGATCAGAGGGGGAAGCAGGAACTGTGGGGTGGGAATAAGGAAAATAACTGTGTTTTGTACGTTTTGGTGCTAGATCCAGGCTGGCTTGGCCAGCCCCTCTGCTGCTTTGTCCCACCAGTGGGAATCTTCCCCCAGCCAGCTCTTCATGGCCGTGCCCTGGCGCTTGTAGAAGATGACTTGGAAGGCAACAAGAAGCTCAGTCCTGGTGTTTCCTCCAGAAGGTGAAGCAGAACATCTCCAGGTGGGACCTGCCCCCGGCACCCAGCTCTGGGGGTGCAGCCAAGCACTAGAGGGCAGCAGCTTTCCGCGCTGGGTGGGACAGAGGGACACGGGACAGGGGACAGACAGCAGGACAAGGCAAAGTTCCTGCACGCCAGCTTTCTGCAGGGATCGCAACCTGGATTTGTCCTTCGCCGAACAAGCCAAACGGGAACAGGCAGCCGTGGGGTGGAGAGAGACCCGGGAGGAGGAAAAGGGGCTTTTCCAGCCTGGCCGCGGGAAATCCCGAGGGGCTGAGGTTGGGATCCCGCCCCCGTTGCTGGTGGGAGGTTGGTGTTGGCGCAGCCCCCGCTGCCTGTCCCGGGAGCCCTGGGCTGGGAATGTTGTTTGGAGGAGAAACATCATCTTCCCGAGGCCAGGCCGTGCCTGGGACCTGCAAAATCCCCCTGGGATGGGGATTTCCAGGGCGCGTCCGGGTGATTTCCCCAGTCGGCACCGTCTGGGAGTAAAGCTCCTCTCCAGGACAGGGAAACCAGGATAGGGAATCCAAGACAGGGAATGCTGCTACGGACCCTCCCTCCCCAAGATACCCATTTTTCCAGGTTCCCCCCACCTAGACCAGGGATCAGAGCCCCCCTTGGGGACATCCCTGAGGTGACCCAGGGCTGGTTAATGCGGGATATTCCCCTTTTCCCACCTCCAGGGTCTCCCAGGTGCAAACACACCCCCTCTTCCAAAAAAAAAAAAAAACCCACAACAAACCACCCGCTTTTATTTACATTTCAAGTCAAATCAACACGCGAACCGGTTGGTTGTTGCATTTTTTTTTTTTTCCTCGTTTTTCCTTAAGAATAGTGTGATTAGCAAAAAAAGACACATTATTAGAATTCCAAAATAGCAATTAAATATACAAAAATAGAGCTTACAAAAAAAAAATAAATCCAAAAAAGGGAAACAAAAAAAAAACAACCCACCCCAAAATAAACACCCCCTCCCCCCCCCCAGCGAACTGTTGTTGTTTTACAAAACGTTCTGCTGCAGAATTTGTAGTGTAACAAACACGTCTATGAGGCTCCACGCTCCATAAACAGGGAATCGCGCGGTATTTACAAGGACAGAGACAGAGAGAGAGAGAGGAGGGGAATGACACACCCGGAGCCTGCACCCTGGGGAGGGGCTGGGAAAAACTGCTGCCCTGGGACACCCTCCTTCCGGAGGGAAAGAAAAAGGGAGTCAAAGAGTTTCACAGCCCCAAGTTGGGGGGTGTTCGTTCCGGTGCCTGGATTTGGTGGGAGAGGCAGTTTGGGTGCTGGGGGGGCTGGCAAAGCCAAATGCTGCTGGCTCAGGTATTGCCCCCCCGAACCTGCCCATAAACCTCCCCCCCCCCGACCCAGGCTGGAACCCCGCGGCCAGGA